GGCATATTTAGCAACACTCTTGAGAAAGCTACCATGGTCACTTAACTAATTATGCATTAGGAAATTTAAACTATGTTGGGGAAGAAGACCACTTTTAGGAAGACAATCAATTCAAGATCACCTTCATTATATTGCTCTTTATTGGAATAAGGACCCGTTCACGCCGCAACCAAGCGGAAAAATCAAGCCAGTCGCTAAGCAAATAAGGAAAAGCAAAAGAAAGGAGAAAAAAAGGAAGCAGATGAGAAGAAGGGGGGAGGAAGCCGTCTGGCCGCACTCACTACTGTTGCACACTAGAAACAAAAAGTTGAAACAAACAATATCTCAATGGGGCGAAAAGAACATTAGATAAAGAAAAAATTATTAAAAAAGAAAAATGTAGGAAACTTTAAAATATGGAAGCAATATTATATATATATATATATATATATATATATATATCTTTAGTCAAGTTGACTATAATTTTCTTATAGTTGCACTCTATCATACATTTTTATTTGGATGTTCAGGAGAATAACTCTTATGAAAGATTTTGATTTACTTTCTCCTTCTCTGGTCAGTGTTGAATCTAATATAGTAAGTAGTCATTGTTTATCTATCCAAATATGTTTGACTATTTTGCGTTGATTAAAAAATGTTTGTATGTCTCTTTGTAGACATCAAAGAGACATGCAGTGATGCAAACAGTAAGCAACATGTTGATACTTCTACAGAGTTTGAATAAGAAACTCAAGGGCATGAAATTAAAAAGTCGTATACTTGAGCGCTACATGTATGACTTTGTTGTTTTGAAATTCATGATATTTAACCCGTTTTATTTTACCAATTTGTAATGTTACATTTTGTCTTAAATACAAATTAGAAATTTTTATTTAAATGAAAAAAAAAGGAAAGTGTTATCTATTCATTTACCATCAAATAGAATAAAATAACTTTTCACCCCGTGCAACGCACGGGTGAAAAAACTAGTAGGGTATAAAATTAACGTCGTTTTGGATTAACCGCCATTAGCCAAGCAACTTCATTGTATATCATAATAAGGCCTGGGATCGGTTCGAATCTTGTTAAAATTCGATGGAACCGTATTAAAATTGTAGACGCTAAATTCGGTTCGGTTCTAGTTAAAAATTTAGTTGTTAAATTCGGTTCGTTTCTAGTTAAATTCGGTTCGGTTCTTACCTTTTTTGGTTCCTTATAAAAATTTATTATCATCCTAAAATGAATACATTTTCTCTTCAATTACATAAAAAAATTCAAATTACAAATATAATAATGAAATTATGACCATAACATTATACATACATGATATCTCAATGTTCAAATAACACAAAAATATTCAAGTGCAAACATTAAATTTAAACATAACAAAAACATAAAGATTTAAAATAGGCATCAACTGTAAAGCAAAAGAGTTTAATAGCACCAAGGTACACATCCAATATTCTTCTGCTAGTAATGCACCATAACTAAAAAGTACTTATTAATCAACTGACCGGTAATATTAGTAATTTACTATGAAGAAATAATAACGTTGATGGGACCATGGATTCAACCCATGGCCCAATTACATAATTTAGCCCATAAACGGGATCAGCCTAATTACAGGATTAGCCCATAAATGGGATCAGCCCTTAACGGGATCAGCCTAATTACAGGATTAGCCCATAAACGGGATCGGCCCTTAACGAGATCAGCCTAATTACAAGACCAGCCCATAAACGGGATTTATGATTAAAATCCGCTTAGTCCATTAGGAATTAGGCCCACGATAGGAACCCACAGCCAGGCCGAGCTGGATAGCAGACCTCGAGCTTGGGCGGAGTTCTAGTGAGGCCGGGATATTCCTAGGGCTTACGTGGCGAGCTATCATTCGTTGATAGATATTTGGCAACAGGCAGAACTCATCCGGAGAACGGTGACTAAAAGAAGAAAGCAATCGTGTGGGAATCAAGCATCAAAGGAGTTCTATTTCGAGCAAGAATATAGTTCATTAATGAAACATTAATTGTATTAGATTCCTCCTAAAATACTATCTCCCAATATCTATAAATATAAGATGTAAACACCCGAGATGGGGATCCCCGATCAAGTTCTGAACCGAGGCTAGACGATTGCTAGTTCTCCGGAATAAAGAGTAAAAACTGCCTTATATTGCCATATTATTTTCATACTTACGTATATTTAGCTCTCGTAGTTGGATTTAACTCCATCAAACATAATCAACAAAATATTAATTCTTTTTTGAGGTGAACTCAAACAAAAAATAAAACTACAAACAAACAATAAATATAAAAGTTGACTAAACTAGTAAAATAACAAACACTCGGATTGGCCTAGTCCCCAATATATAAGGTATATTATGCAAGACAAATATTTCTGAAGAGTTTTTTGCCCAGAACGTCGTCTGGACACCTCCAATTGAGGTGCTTCCGGGTAGAGATTTTTGATGATTTTTTTGTAAGCATGTTCTACATGAAGTTTAGATTATATCCACCAAATTTCAGCTTAAAATTCAATCGAGAAGTGAGTTACATAAAATATTGAAAAACATTGCATTTTATATATATTTTTGTGTGTTTTCAATAATTTATTTAACTGATCCATCTCGATTTAATTTTAAGCTCAAATTTGGTGGACATAATCTATACTTCATGAAAAACAATCTCACAAAATTTCATCAAAAAATTCCACCCAGAAGCACCTCAAATATAATGATTATTACTCATACAATGTATAAGAAGTTCGGTTCTTGCCTAGGAACCGGAACCAAACTGGAACCGAACCGGAACCGAACCGATTATATACTATAGGAACCGAATCGGAAAAACTGAATTCCAAAATCATAGGAATCGAACCGAACAGAAAAATTAGAGTTCGGTCCCAGGCCTATATCATTCTACCTATAGCTTTTTGTTTTTTGAAAGTCATTCTACCTATAGCTAGCTAGTTTATGGCATAGTCCCATAATTTTGTAACTTTTTTTAGTGTAAGATTATTTACGTGTCATTTTGCTGTCCTAGCTCAATTAAATATTTTCTTATGCCCTTATCTTCTTTAATCCTTCTTACGGTCCATCTATCTCTTCCTTCTTTCTTCACCAAACAGTAAATCATGCATCACGGATCATTCTCTTTGTCTTCCCATCTCCATTATTCCTCACAAAATCATCTTTTTTTATCATTTTCTCCCATGGGTCTTTTTTAATCTGCAAGACCACATCTTCCCTTCTTAGAAAAATGGGGTACCTTAATTATCGGTAACACTGTTATTTGGTTTGCACGTTGAAATGTGAAATAATAAGAAAAAATAAGGTTGAATTTACTTTTCTAGCTGTTTCGGCTGAAGTTATTGTAGAGGATCATTTTAGCTATTTTACATATAATTTTTTCTTTATTGTATTAATAAAATATATTTTCAATTTAATGTTTTCATAAATCAGCAGAATCAACCAATGCAGCCATTTAAGCCAAAACTTCATAAATTTCAGCAGGATCGGCCGATTTCAGTGTTACCAAACAGGCTCTAAATCGTAAATGAAGTATATCGTTTCAACAACTATAATTAAATGTTTATCCGGCACTTACACTCAAAATATCGATAAAAAACCTGACATGTCTCTACTGGAGTTCCACATATCTGTTGGTAACTTTTTATTCACATCATCAACGTACACGTAATCAGAGGCACGAAAAGTCAGAAAAGAAAAACTACATAAAGGAATTTAATTGACTTCTTGAATATAGTATGAGGGTCCGTTTGATTAGTTTTCCAATATGATACTAAGTATTATCCTCCGTTTTTTTAATCGCAACATGTTGACTTTTTGCACTGTTCACATGATCTACTTTGACTACATTTTACACTATTATTTTGTGGAAATTGTTTTTTTTTAATATTTTCCAATTCATCTCATTACAAATTTTCAAAATCTAATTTTTATATTTGTTTATTAATAGAGATTAAAATATACTTGTGGTCAAATGTGTGCGTTGTCAAATGTGTCAAGGTTGACTGTTGCAACTAAAAAAGAACGGATGAAATAGAGCAAGTATAACAGGAGAATAATAGTAGCAACACTTATCAATAATGTTTAACTTTATACGGAGTATCTTATAGAGCAAATGTATAACATATACTTCTTGCACATGGGCGGAGCTAGGGGTGAGCCAACCTAGGCCATGGCCCACCCCAAATTTTAAAAATGGCTTAATTTTTAAGGTAAAAAATTTCGTGTAAATTGTTTTCAAACAATATTCTTTATACCGGCCCAGTCCAGTGCTCTGGCTCCGCCCCTGTTCTTGCAAGTGAGATGCTAAAACAACTACAAAACTGTTATGGAGAGTCGGGTTAACTCCAGTTTCCAATGATAAAGTTCTAATCTATTCTAATTATCTTCTTTGCATTTTGCTCACACCAAAGAGAAAATAATGTTTAACTACGTATTAAGGACAACATTTTGGATATAAGAAAAGCAAATGGGAAAATAGGAATATAGGATATCTAGACAAAATGTGAATTCAGAGCCAACTGTCACACCATAAGTGTCTAACTGAATACCAATCGATGATCATACGAAGTACATGGTAAACTGGTATTATGATTTTATCGCTTCTTCCTTTTAGCTTTGCGTTTGAGTGTTAATTCAAATTTTTGCCCAGAATGCCAGAATGAGTTGATGCAAACACCCATAAATTTTGAGCAACACATAGGGTGGCCCGGTCTCCAGTCTTGTTAACGTAATAGGGTTAATCAAAACATTCGCTGTGTATACCTGGTTCCGACTTCCAGACTTCCGATCCAGTTCTTGGATTGATTCAAATTTCCAATCCGGGTCTGGTTCTTCAGGTCAATCTGGTGTAGTTTTGGAGAACCTAAACCGAAATGGACAGATCCAGTTTTCAGGCAAAAAAATGAGTAGTCAAAGTTTGAATCCACTCATATAAATAACGGAACAGGTATTGGAATTTGGAAACAAACTTGGTTATCACCCAATGAATATGTGGAACATAAGAAAAGAATGTCATGCCCACTTGCAAATCTGGCCATGCAAATATGCAACAGGGATGGAAAACACATCCTGTAGTCTCACTTGGCAATAATGTCTTTCAAAAAAAAAACACTTTGCAATAATGAATGCTTAAGGCAGTAAAAGTATCTACCACCAGACTGAAGAACATTTTACAAAAGCACAAGCAATTCCCACCTTAAAAAGATCAAGCCAGTACTCTAAATGCAACACATCATTAATTTATTAATTATATCTGAAAAATTAAGTTACATTAGCCGCACTAAATATTTGGCCGTGTGCTTTCACGATTAATAATAACGAGTCATCATCTCATAAAAGGTACTAGCCATCTCATCTCAGCTCCATTTCCATTGGATAGGTAGTAAATCTTCTTCCAGTTTTCTTCTGAGAATGACTCACGACGTATAAGTCTCTGCCTGCAAATGGATGGGTAAAAAAAGTATGTGTAGCTCAGATATTGAGTTAGTTGTTTTTTCATATCTGCTGGAACATGTCAGCAGCAAAGCAATCAATTCCATACGGAGTGGTCATACCTGAGGTAGTAATAACAAACAGCGGCAGCTTCATCTAAAGTATATCGAGGGAAATTCAAGCGCGCATCAGCTGGAACATTTGGTAAGTCTTTACGCAATTTCCCTACTGCCGTTGAATGAGAGAAAACACCAATCATCATATCATCGTGAAGCATCGATCTGAATGCATTGACCTACAAAATGATTCATGACGTTCTCAATCAAATTATTACTCCGTACATTGAAATTCTTGTCATACGCACGCACTTCTTGTAAGTGACATGCACTGATGCACTTGTGCGAATTATATGCAATGAAATTTAAAGAATTGTGCATGTCATGCCCTGATTGCTATTATAAAGAATATAAGGTAGATATTTCAACCCATTGAATTAAAATATTATGACTCCGCACTTTGCAACTACTCAGTTATAATGTTATCACTGAACACTTCAATAGGACCATACTAGAGCAAACGGAAAAGTCTAGATAAGATTAACACAAACAATGAAAATATTGCACTTTAAGTCTCATGAGTCATAACTATAAGGTCATTTTCATTCTTGGTCTCCAACTCTCCAAGATTCATTTTATTCCTTTTTGGTACAAGAGTATGTGTTTTTTGCCACCTTTTGATCCTTCTGGTTACTTACGCAGCTAATTTCTTAGCATTTCCAGTTTTCTTTTCCGCTGAGCAGGTGATCAAAAGTATCGGAAGTGAAAATAAATCTATGTTTGTGTATTAACAGTTGGGATGGAAAATGAAGGTCAACAACTCAAAGCAAAATGATCTAGCAGTCATGAGACCTAAAGTGGAATATTTCTAATAGCAAACTCGAAAAACTAAATGTTGTAAAATATCAACTTTAACTCTTTATCACAAGATAATCCCTACTAGGCCACAAGTACATCACTAATGTACTCTCTTTTGAATAAGATTGAAATTGAAGACACAAATGTTTTACTGTTTTAAGCTCCTTGGCATGGATGGGTCTGCAAGAACGCACGCTTGCTGGTTCCTGATACTCACTGAATGTAAACCAACTATTGTACTGCATCAAAATAGAGACACACAACACAAACTACGTCACCAATTAAATGCAGAAAACAGAGCCATTCGAAGATAGGAGTACAAAAGAACAGATATGCAGTTCAGTAATTCTGAAGAATAATCTTCTTACTTGGTCAATTGCAATAAGAACAGGCATATCTTTCACAAGAGACAGTTCTTGCCTCAAACGATCAACCACTCCAACAGAGGCATGTGTGTTACTAATACCTCTCTCAACCAGATCAAATAGACTCTGACCCTCAGGTATTTCCATTGTCATGTCACCTTTCGGCGGTCCAACGCCCACACCTTCTCCCAAGGAAACTGGATCAAATATTTTGCATGGCAATTTTTTCAAATGTCGTTCATTATACTTTAAAAAGTCCTGAAATAAAACAACAATGGGCTTAGGGACCAAATGTGTTTTGAAGTGCATGCAGATACTGAAACTTTTATACAGAGTATTCATCTAAAAAGCTAGTTAATAAGTACTCGGAAACCGCATTGCATAGACAATATTGAGATGAAGCATGCCACCTTTGACTTATTGAACTAAAACTACAAAATATCTGCAGTGAAACACATCACTTATGAAGAGATCTAATGTATAGCGTTTAAGACAATGAAAATGCGTATACATAATATTGGTCGAAGCAAACAGATCTAGTACACTAGTTAACCTTTAAAATACTGAACTGGAAGGAACACACATAAACACGGTTAATAAACAACACTTTATTTTTATCTTCAGAAAGATTAGCGCCCTTGCCGGAAGAATATTTTCTGTGTGAGCAGGAGTATCCCAAAAAGCACTTGTAAGATTTTATGCATGCACGTAGTACATATTAGTACACTAGTTAAATTTCTTAATATTGAAACTGGTGGAACACAGATAAACGCTGTTAGTATCATTTTATTAACTTCCTCGTAAAGATTAGCACCCTTGCCTGGAGAATATTTGCTGCCTGAACAGGAGTATCCCATAGAGCACTTGTAAGACTTTTATAGAAAAATCCTCCATGAGTCCATTCTCGACCTCTTGGGACATAGAAGACCAACCATCCTTCTTCACGTGCCCAGTGAACAAGCATTGCAAGAGCAATACTTTTTCCACAGCTAACAGGGCCATCTAATACAATCTGTTTCCGAGGTTTGGAACCTGTAAGAATCCAATCTCAATGACTTAACCAGTAACCCTGGCAGATATCTATTGCACAACACACAAAAGCATATTATATTTCTTCTTCATTTATTCTTTCACTCATATCTCACAGTTAGATTTTTTTTAAATAATATGCTTGTAGTTGAAAAAAATCATATAAAAATAGAGTTTCAAGATTCTTTTATATAAATAAGCTAGCTTAGTAAGTTATATAAAATAAACAAAAGATCAGCAACACTAAAAACTAAACAACATTTCACACGAGATGAAAGTGGAGACAATCAAAGTACACAGTTACACACAAATGAATATAAGAACAAATCCTATAGAAATTGAGTATATAGAATAATAAAATTAGTAATAAGGGTCTCGATTATAAATAGACGGGAAGGAGGAGTAGTAAGGAGGCTTTTGGACTGTTTGTCTTGGGACTTGGGAAGACTGAGACTAATAATCTCTTTCTTTGGGGAGCTTCGGCTTTTGGGGGCTTCAGCCATGCTTGATTCACTTCTTGTTACGTTCTTGATTCAATAAAGTTTTGAATTGTTCTTGATAAATTTCTGTGATTTTTGTTGTATTTCTGGAGGATCCTAACATTAGTATCAGAGCAAACGATCTTGTTACCTGTAGACCTATACATGGTAGGAACAATGGAAAATTGGGAGCACACGATGGAAAAGATGCGCGAACAAAACAGGAGGTTTTGCGACAATATGCGCGAACAAAGCAAGCGGTTTTGCGAAGAGATGAGCAAATTAACATTGCAAATAAACAATCGGCACTCGCAAGGGAGATCGAGGACAAGGTCGCAGAAGCAATCGCAGAAGGAGTCGCGAAGGTCGCAGATGGAGTCGCCGAAGAATTCTCACCATACGCAGAATTCCTCATCGCAGTCCAAATCGCGAACTTCTTCTCATATGTCACAATCGCGTACAGTTTCTCACCAGGCACAGAATTTTTCGCATCATTCTTCGCAAAGTTTTTCCCATCGATCTGAGCATAACTCTTCCCATAGCTCTTCTCATCATACTTCGCATCATCATTCGCGAAGGTCATCTAATCCAGAGGAATCAGAAGAGAATTTTGACTACTCTCCTACGCATCGCAACTCAGATAGTTCAGAGAGATCGGAGGAGCATAAGCTTCGCAGAGGGGCTCGAGAACGATCGAGGAAGTCTAGGCCCCTTCGAATATTTGACACACTAAAGTCGTCGCAGTCTCTTAACCATCGGAAGACTGAGTCGCGAACTTCGACTCACGGATCGAAGCGATTAGAACCAGATGGTCTGTATACGCAGACATCCCTATCCTCGATCAACTTGCCTAAGGAGGCATCACGATCAGAAAAAGAATCTTCTGATTCGCCAGTTTGGTCACAAGCTATTTCTGAACCTGCGCAAGGTTTTTTCCAGTCAATAAAGGAGATGGAGATGGAGACAAATAAATCTGTATTCCAGAAAATGAATGACAAGGAAGAAATTGAAGAGCTAAGACAGGTTATCCAATGGCCAGATTATGTTTCTCCTAATTTTGCAAACAATGTGGATTTAAATTCTCTGGAACAAAAGAGATATGGTCCAGTTGTTCTTGAGGATCATGTTTATCATCCTTCTGGGGGATCATATGCTAATGTTCAAATTGGGACTTGTATGAATGTTATGAGTGGAGGAAGACTGGTTATGGATGATAAAGAGGCTGAAACAGCAGTGTACAATCAAAAATTGACTATTGGAATGCACTCTTCTAGTATGTTTAAAGCAATTTTCAAAAGACAGGTTGAAGAGGGACTTTCAGCTCCTTATAATTCGAAGGATCATCAAGAATATGCTCCAGTTGTTTCTTCTGCTATTGTGCATCTGATAAGAACCTTGTACAAAGAATTCAGAACAATTACAGGAAAGAATATTAAGAAACAATATAGAAAAGCATTCTCCATTTACTTTGATCCATGAAAAAATTGCTGCAGCTAGGCAAGCTAGCCAACTGAGATCTCATCATGTGTAAGACATGAATGGGTTCCTGGGATTACTACCTTATAACTAATTTAACTTTTGGTAGTTGTTTTATTCTTTTTTGTTAGATGGGTTTAGGGAGGGGGTGTTGTTGCCTAGATAACCTGTTGATGAACTCAAGTAAAGTTTACAATCTATGACACTCTTGAGAGAAGCGACTAACAAAAGAGATTATTGTTCAAAAATTGGTTAGAAACTTAGAATGAAGATCTTCCGGCCAGCACATAGAAGATAAAAACTAGGTAATGGGTAGGAAAGGGGCATTCTCCATTTAGAGAGGCCCTTGCAGCACTTGAAACTTGAAAGTAGAGCAAGTGAGTAAGTGACTGCAATTCTACAATCTTGAATGCACTATTTAAAAGACAGCCACAAAGTGATTCCAGCTTAGAAAAGCTAAAACTAATGGCTCTTGCTGTCCTGGGTTTTAATCATGGATGGTCTGTGTGGATATATAGGTTTTGTCTTCAATTAAACTATCCCAAAAGGTTTATTCTTTTCGAAAGGTGTTACCGGTTGTACTCTCTTATTTGTTGATATCTTTTGCAATATTTTAGCAGATTTGCAGTCCTAACTAAACCGACGATGCATAGTAACAGTATAGCACCATTAAAAGAAAGCAATGATGCCAAACATTGTGGGAGGAAAATGTACCTTTGACATTATTCTGTATAGTAGGATCAGCAATCCGCCTGAAATTATCTCGAAGATCCAGAAAGCTCTGCCGTATGAGCAATGCATTTCTCTTAGAATCCTCAAATTCTTTCAGCATTCCCATGGGCAACCCTTCAGGCAACACCGCTTCCAATTCCTCTATACTACACCCAGATTTCAATGAGTATTACCACACATATGCATATAGAAACATGAATATGGAAAAGAACCTGAATTTCATGTAAGTGCAAGTATCTTTTTTGCTAAGCTCGGAGAGAGAGTTGGCGGGCGTGAAGAGCGGCTGGAGATTCGGACCAACATCAAGAGATGAATTTTTTTCGTCTTCTGCAAGAGCGCGCATGCGAGCCCCGTCATTGAGGCGGTTGATGGTTACGGCCTCTAAGGATCCCCCAGGGACTTCAATTGCCTTCGAGGTTGCTCTATTCCCCTTTGGTAAGGTTTGCTTTGCGGCTGATGCAGAAAAAGCTCGAGAAGAGAAAAGTTGTAGAGGTATCAGCACGTCGGAGACGGCGGCTTGCGGTTTCGCCACTGGCAGCGATGAAACTGCTGCTCGGAGAAAGAACCGCAACATTTCGGAGGATTTGGGACACTTGGAATGGTTCAGCAAAGCAAGCCTCCCGTCGGGTTTAATGCTCGTCCGGAGCCGGTAAATCCGGTCCTTAGTTTGGGTTCTAAAAATCCAAGACCGACCAGAACCGTGGTCTAGGGGGCAGTGGTGGGGTCCTAGTCCCAAAAAAATGAAAAAAAATAGGCACCGGTTTAGTTCTTTACCGGGGTGTTTGGATCTGGTTCTTAGAACTGTTTCTGCTCCCTTCAGGGAGTAGAAGCAGAAGAAGGGAGCAGAAGCAGAAGCTGAAGTGTTTGGGTGAAAGTGCATAAGTGATTCTGGTGTTCTAATTTACTCCTAGAATCAGTTTTTTTAGAAGCTGAGGGTGACCAGCTTTTGAAAACTGATTATGATTCTGCTTCTACTTTAAAAAAAAGAACATAATTAGTTTCAAACACCCCCTATGATAACTGTGAGTAAGGATGTTTTTACTTGGACTGTAATTTGCTAGTCTGGTCTTGTCTGGTTTGATTTGCTCTGGTCTGATCTGGTCTGGTCTGATTTCTTTGTATTATTTTTATAACTATCTAATTCTGGTCTGGTCTGGTATGGTTTGGGACGAATTATAGTCCAAGTAAAAACATCGCTGATTTTCTAGAAATTAATAATTTCTTGGGTGAAGTTATTTGAGATGCTTTCAGGTAGACTTTTTTGGAGAAAGTTTATGAGCATGTTCTCTACTAAGTGTAAATTATGTCTACAAAATTTTAGTTTAAAATTAAATATAGAAGTCAGTTAAATAAATTATTGAAAAACACTACGTATTTTATACATATTCTGACGTAACACAATGTTTTTCAAGGTTTTATTTAACTTTTTTCTGATTGAATTTTAAGCTGAAGTTTTGTGACCAAAATATAAACTTGATGAAAAACATGCTAACAAAATTTCATAAGAAATTCCACTTGGAGATAGATTAATCTGATATGACTATTTGATTAGTTTATCGGTTGATTTCACTCATAACTGATTGTTTCATTTCTTAATTGATTAGTTTATATTTTACGGAATATCTAGTTATCTAATTGTTTGTTATTTTGTGAGTATTTTAAAAATTAATTTCGAATGTGTGAATCACTGGAAGTCTGGAATATGATTTCAAGATCTGTCTTTCATTCACTACGGAAGTATTTCTTACTATTACTTAGTGAGTATTAGTATATTTGAATGATTTTTTATTGTAAACACATTTTAGAGGATGTGGTTTTTATTTTCAAAATAGTTTGAAATTTTTAATTTTCCGGATTAACTTAACGCCTAGGCTCGTTTCATCCGTCGTCGGCTTCGCCGAGAGGGGTAAGGGAATTCTCGGGCTCTTGGGTGGAGCCTCGTCTCTTTCTATTCGGATTTCTTGCATAAAGTTCTCTCTCTAGGGTTAGCCGCAAGGTTTGCCGCTAGTTCTGTTCGTCCGCTATTGGCTTGCGCCGAGGAGCGGGGCTGGTTTTTCCGGCCAAACATTTATGATCTGTGACAAGGGATTCGGGAGGAGGGACTGTTTTGGAGTATGGTGAAGCCGCAATTCTGTTTGCTCTGACAAGATTGTGGACGTGTTGGGATGGCTTTCTCAGGCAAGTTTGTTCGGCGAGGCAGCATGCGGAGGGTCGGCTTCTGGCAGGCGAGTAGGATCGGCGAGCAAGGTAATCGAGGCTTCCTTGCTCAGGTTTTTGCAAATGCAGGCCTGACATGAAATTTGATCAACAAAAAGCAGGATGATGAAGAAGATGCAATACTGTTGGTCTGACCTCCTCCTGAACCGTCACCACGGAGTGCAGAAAAGGTTACAGTTGAAGACTCTGGAGGGTGTTTGGCATCTTCTTGCTGGATGACGAAGCAAGACTTTTATGTTTTAGCATTTATTTATTTTGATTGTCTGGTTTTTGTTGTTTACTTTCGGATTTTTATTTTATTCAACTGTAAGACTGGGAATTTGAATGTAGGGGCGGATCAAGCATAGGTCAACGTAGAGCCTAGGCCCAACCTAAAAAAAAGTTAGTATTTATCTTAATCTGAATCTTAAAAATAAAAACTTATAATAGCCAATGAGAGTTAGGGCATTTTAGGTATGAAAAAAATGTTGGTGTAATAGTCTAGCTTAATTGAGTTGTACAATGCTCTTTCTCATTTGTACTCCATTAAAACCGGACTTAGAAGTTGTTCTCTTCGTCCGATCTGAATGTTTCTGATCTGATCTGATCTGAATCTTTCTGATCTGAATCTTTCTGATCTGATCTGATCTGAATCTTTCTAATCTGATCTGAATCTTTCTGATCTGGTCTGATCTGATCTGAATCTTTCTGATCTGATCTGAATCCTTCTGATCTGATCATAATTTTTCTGATATAATCTGAATATTTCTTTAATTATAATTATAATTATTATAATTATAATTCTAATTATAAATATAATTTATAATTATAGTCACAATTCTAAAAATATTTAATTATAATTATAATCATAATTATAACTAAGGTTATAAAAAATTATACCTACTACACTGATTATAATTATAGATATAATTATAATTGTAATTATATTTTTAATTATAGTTATATCTATAATTATAATTCTAACTATAATTATAATAAATTTGTATAATAATAATAATAATAATAATAATAATAATAATGATGACGACGACGACGATGATAATAATAATCATAATAATAATAATAATCATAATCATAATAATTATTGTTATTATTATTATTATTATTTTATAATAATAAAAGTGATAAATCATGTTTGAATTTTTTTGATCTGATCTGATCTGAATTTTTCTGACCTGGTCTGAATGATTCTGATTTGATCTGATCAGAATCTTTCTGATCTGATCTGATCTGATCTGAATTTTTCTAAACAATAAGTAATAAGAATAAGACGAACAGAACAGCACCTTAACCTACCGTTTTGTATCCGTCAGCCACTCGACTGTTTTTGTTTATTATGACTCCGTTAAAACATGGGAGATTTATACAAATAAGATCTAATCATATGAAGTTTCCTAAAATAGGGACATGTTTACTTCACCGGTTATTAAACGGTGCTTATTAAGACCCGTGTTAATAAGCGGCGCATAAAATAAACAATGTTGTAAGACCGTGTTTACTTCAAATGGTTTAAAACACCGCTTACCATTAAAATGTCCAAAATAACCCTATACATATATATACACACAAACATTCATGAACACAAGTATATAATATAATATGTGTACCCATACCCCTAACCCCTTACCCACCCTACCTTACCCCGACCCCACCCACCGCCTGCCCTACCCCCTACCCCTACCCTACCTACCTGACCCCACCCTACCTACCCGAACCCACCCTAACATGTCCCCACCCTACCGCAACCCTACCCCCGACCCCATAGGCCCTTACCACATCGACCCCGACCCCACCTTACCCTACCTTACCCCAACCTCGCCCCTACCCCTGCCCTACCCACCCCTACCCCACCACACCTACCCTGCCCCCAGCGCCTCTATCACATCGGCCCCACCCCTGACCCCACCACCCTAGGTATAGTGGGGTAAGGGGTGGGGTAAGGGGTATAGGGTGGGGTGATTGAGGTCAAGTAGTGGTAGGGTGGATCGGGTAGGTAGGATAAGGGTGGGGTTGGGTAGGTAGGGTAGTGGTAGGGTGGGTTCGGGTAGGTAGGGTGGTGGTTGAGGCGGGGTAGGGGGTAGGGTAGGGGTAGGGTCGGATAGGGTAGGGTGGGGTCGGGTATGTGGGTAAGGGGTGGGGTAGGTAGGGTAAGGGTAGGTGTGTGGTCGGGTAAGTAGGGTAGGGGTGGGATTGGGTAGGTAGGGTAGTGATAGGGTGGGGTCGGGTAGGGGTAGGATGGGGTAGGGTTGGGTTGGGTTGGGTCAGGGTAGGGTAAGGTGGGGTCGGGTAGGGGTAGGGTAGGTGGGGTAAGGGTAGGGGTGGGGTCGGGGTAAGGGTAGTGTAGGTGGGGTAGGTTAGGGGGTAGGGTAGGGGTGGGGTCGGACGGGTAAGATAGTGGTAGGGTGGGGTCGGGGTAGTGGTAGGGGGTCGGGTAGGTAGGGGTAGGGTCGGGGTAGGTAAGGGTGGGGTGGGGGTCGGTTAGGTAGGGTAGGGGGGTGGGGTCGGGGTGGGGTAGGTGGGGTAAGGGTAGGGGGTCAGGGTAGGTGGGGTCAGGGTAGGTGGGGTAAGGGTAGGATGGGGTCGGGGTAGGGTGGGGTCGGGGTAGGTGCGGTTGGGGTCGAGGTGGGGCAGGGATAACAATAGGTTAAGGGCAAGGGGTAAATTCGGAAACTGAAAAAGCTTAAAGTGCCGCTTAATTAATACATTGGGGGGTCATATGGTTAATAAACGGCACTTTAAGCACCTCTTTCGGTAAGTAAGCGGCTTTTTAAGCAGTGTGCGTGTTTACTTCACCTGTCTTACTAACCTAACTGTGACTTTAACAGTGAAGTAAACACCTCCTAGGACTCTAATTACCCGTAAGACACAACTGCATATATTTTGACTGTTATACCCTTAAATTAAAATCACACAACTCCACCATATAAAAAATCCCTCAACTCTAAACATTAATTTTTTGTGGACGGCCAAACTAGCTGCTTTGGAGCTTCCGAAATCGCAGACTTGACAGAAAATTTGTAGACCAAAACTCTTCTTTAGAGCTTCCAAATCTCAACCAGAAAGAACGAAAAAAAAAGCAAGTGGATCAATTATGAAGAAAGCCAACGAAGAAACAATTGGATGATATGAATGTTGAGAAAATCGAAGAAAATTGCAGATGGCAGACGGATCCAGAAGAAAACTTGCTGCGCTCAACGGATCCAAAAAGTTGCAGATGGCAGACTGAAATTGTTCTTGAGAGTTTCGAATTCACGATCGAAAAGGACAACAACAAAGCAAGCTGACTACGAAGAGATCTATCGAAGAAAATTTAGGTGGTAAAGAAGAACAGTGGCAAAGGAGAAAGAAAAAATCAGAGAAGAAGAATTTTCAAAACATGGAACCAGACAAATAAAAACAGTTTGACCATAAAAGTCTATACATCTCTTTTAAATAAAGATAAAATAAA